AACCAAGGTGTCATCAGAAGACCACCCAAGAGGATCCTTGAGAACAAGGACAAAGAAGAAGAAGTGCCCGTTTACACCAACCTAGGGAAAATCACCATGCCTAGAATGAGTCCCGTCCCATCATCGGATGATGAGTATGAAGATATTGAACACGCCAATGTTCCCACCAACCGTTTCGGATGCCCGGCCTATGGTCGCAGTAGGGTGTTTAGAAACAAGCTATCTGCGGCTAAGCAATATGGAGCCGGGTTGCAAGTTGGATGGGTGACCGTCGTAGAACCGATACAGCCGAGTTCTATGTCGGTTTTTGCCACTCAAGGCGCATCGGTGAAGCGTCGGTCGATCCTCCAACTTGCAGAATGAATGAGGAGGTGTATAGGGCATGTGCAATAAGCCTTAGGCTGCAGTGCTGAGCATATGCCTGAAAGAATGAACAAATCTAATATAATCTTATCTAACCGTTCAGAATCAAACCGGAGCAGAAGAGCCCAGAGCAGCACCCCCAAGAACTAGGGCACCCAAACCACCACTTATTATGGTCACCTCTATAGGATAAATTTTGAGCAGTTTAAAACCACCATTACCGAACTGTTAGAAGGAAAATCCTTCTTCCAAAAATACTCACCAAAAGAGATCAAAATATGTACTGAAACCCTAGAAGATCACGTTCTGGTACTGATAATGTCCAATATTACACCTACTCACCTAGGACTGAGAGACGGAAGAGGGTACTATTTGAAGGTCCACCCAACATGGATACCGAGAAAGTAAAGCAAATCCTAAGCCAAAATTACCAAATTAACGAACGATTGTGTACCAACTGTGGAGAAGGCCATTCCTACCTAATTACTGCAGCAAAAGACACCAACATAGGCTTGCTCAAAAGGACCAACCACAACGAAAATACTTACCGGCATAAAATGGGAAACTTTCTATAAACGCAATAACTTAACCCAATGTTATAGATGCCAAGGCTTCGGCTACGGCGCTAATAACTGTAAACAATCAATAAAATGCCTGAAATGTGCAGACTCTCACTCAGCAATAGACTGCCTTAGGAAGCGTGGAGACCAGATCAAAATGCAATGTGCCAATCGCGAAGCTGAACACGCGGCAAACTTCAGAGGTTGCCCCAAACTTCAGAAACACATGACCAGTACACAGCCAAAGTGGTTCCAAGCAAACAGAATCAAGCAAGGCGTATCGTACAGCCAAGCCACCAACAACCAGACAAATAACCAGGACAAACCCGCATGAGACTGGAATTCCCACCACCAGACCGACAAATCAGATGATTTTGGAGACTTCCAAACATTAATGAAAGAGACCGATGAACCAAATGCCAAGTTCAACATCAAGGAGCTAATAGGCCTGTTCGCACAGAAATCACCAACCAGTCAGAGCGAATTTCATTGGTTGAAACTAGTTTTCTGACTGTTTCTGACTGTTTCCAACCAATGAAATTCGCTCTGACTGGTTTGTGATTGCTGTGCGAACAGGCCTAATAAATCAAGTCAGGACTTTGAACAACAAATTGTCCCAAGCAAAGAACCAGCAAGAAATCCTTCAAATCCTTGTGAGCCATGGAAAATAGGACACTAAACATATCACTTATCAACATAAACGAACTGACGGGATGGATAAACGAAATAAGGAACCTGTCCCAAAGGATAAAACCACAAGGCATCGCAATTGTAGAAACGAGACACAAAAATAGAACACCACCCAGGATACAGGACTATGATGTCTACTACAGAAAGACCAAACCAAAACGTAGCGTCAGGAGGATAGCCCCATACATCCAAAGTAACATAGAATGCGAGGAAATACCATTGGACACGGCGAACATTGAGTCGATCGCAGTAACTTTCCAGGGTATCAAGGTAGTGGTGGCCTACAACAAAAATGGCGAGCGACTTGACTACCAAGAAATGCTAAATATCACAAACCACCCTGAAGTGATTTTATAGTCGGAAATTTAAACACCAAACACCCCGACTGGAATAACCACAGCGCCAACACAGCCGGAAACATACTCAATCGCATCCTAGACGTAATAGACCTAAAGATTATCGCGCCGGACCAACCCACCAGACCACAAGCAAACTCCACTATAGACATTGGATTCACCAGAAACCTATACGTAACCGCCAGAAACCTGTTGGAAGCAACATGCAATCACTTTCCAGTCTGGTTCGAAATCGACCAACAAATACAAACAACACCCCCCAAACCACTCCTAAACTACAAGGATGCTGACTGGACAACACAATTAACCAGGATCAGCAACAGAATCGTAACGACAACATATACCAAAAATAACCATTAATAACAAACAAAAGTTATCCAAACACATACAAAGGGAAATACAGAAACGGAACAAGCTAAGAGCAAGAACCCAGAGAAACAGGGACCACTTCGACCGAATGGAATACCTGGAATAATGCACCCTGGTTAAAACATTAATGTCATCACACGTAAACGAGGAGTGGAATAAGAGAATGCAAGCATCCCACGATGAAGACAACATATGGAAACCTATAAAAGGCTACAGGAACAGATATAGCCCACTAAACATTCCCTCACTACGGGTAACCGACGCAACAGGACAAATAAATACAATCACACACACACAAGGAAAAACCGAGGCATTTAGTAAACTCACAGAACAACTATCAGAAGGCAGGTCTTTCACACCTTCTGGAATTTTGTGGACAGAGCCCCGGATAATACAGATGACATACTCATTAGCCCTAGAGAGATCGCCACAGTTATCTTTGAATCGAAATCCTCTAGGCCGCAGGGAACGTCGTTCCAAAAGATTGCAAGTTCCTACCAAAGAAAGCCTTCGTACAGCTAACGTACTTCTCCAACGATTGGAAGGAAGCCAAAACCATGATGCTCACCAAGCGAGGCAAGAATCAAAAGAAACCAGACCCATTTCGCTACTGACTGAACTTCCTTGGGAAACTACTGGAGCGGATCCTGAACAAAAATAAAACTCCTCCAAATCGTAATATGGTTTGGTGAGCATAAACTTCTTTAGGTCCTACTTAAATTTTGAAGCAGACTGGATATTCCTAATTGAATCAGGCAAATGATTGAAGATCTTCTTGCTCTCATAAATAAGGGATTGCTTAGTCAGTGTGCTTGAAGGTATGGTAAGCGGAATATTGTTTAAGCCACGGGTCATATAACCACTGTCAGTAACTGTGAACTCATGACGATATTTGGGAACTAAAACAGAGGTATCCAAGATAAAAAGGCAGGTCAAAGTGAGTATACCCTCAGAAACAAACATTGGTCTCCCTAGCACCCGCACCACAGAATCAAAAGAACATTGAATAGGGTTTTTGATGTAAAGCCCCAAAACGGCAAACCATATCGGAGGCGACCAGGAACATCGGAACATACACCAGAGACACCATGCCATACCGACAAACTCGTCGGGTCCATGAAGAGGTGCTACAGAACTAAGACCGAAGGGACCCTCGGACCCCCTAATACTGTGGAAAGGACCAGGAAGTCCAGACTGGACAACCCAGTAGTTGAAAACCAAATAGATCCAAACGGATTAAAAAAATGCTAATAACCACTTTAGGACTTTTTTTACCATACGGGGATGTACTGGTACAAATCCAAAACAATTTCGGATTGATTAGAGAGCTTTAACACTTTTGAAGCTTGTCTTAGCTTAGCAATAGAAATACAAGGAAGGATGTGTGTTGCTAATCGCTACTACAGCTTTTGTGGGAGGGAATTAAAACAACAGGTACTCGAAACTCGAAGGCACTCACTCAAGGGAAAACAGTAACACGAATATAAATTAAATTCTTCCTATACATATTAGTAATGCTTCAGTAAATATTAAAACTTCTAGAGGAAGAGGATATTCAGACATTAAACTACGCTCAATTCATGTGTTAAATTATGCATTTCAAGTTCATATAAATCCGTCTCTGGATTTCAAAAGACGTGCGATAAAGTTGATCGATGACGTTGAGTCGTTTATACATGAATCTCGTTAGCGAATTTAATTAGCGATCAATTTTCGTATTAATTTTTGCGAAGAGGCAAAAATTCCGTACGACATTTTTTGGCCTTAAAAGGCGGTTTGCAGATTTACCGGAAACCTTGGGAAGATCGACTTTTTTTTTTCTGCATCCAAAGAGACGCAATGGACTTGCCGGGTGGCATCGGGTTTAACGTTTCGTTATCTTTCGGCTCATTTTCCGGCATTTATACACGCGATAAAAACGTTTTATTAATAGTGCTACAGGATGATTAAATTATATTGATTTATACAAAAAAAAAAACTTGCAAATATCTTATATATATAGAAAGTTACAAGACGATATTTAATCCTATAGTGGTTCCTATTACACTCCATGTGCACCTTAACCTATTACAGTTCCCCGAAAATATAATTTGTTACATTGAATGCAAAATTGCAATTTTCTATTTTTGCTTGCTCATTAGAATTTTTCAAAGAAGTCGGCAATCGTATGATTTCTGGGCTAGTATTCTCAAACATATTCCAAAATAGAACCTGTGTATTGGCAGCTACACAATTTGCAATTTTTACATTAATATTTTGATCGCATTTAATTGTTGGTTGGTTGAAGATTTATTGATTTTTCTACTAAAAGCTTTGAAAATTTTGATCTGCAGAGTGCAGAGAATCTTTCTTGAATCTAAATTTCATTGATTGCGGTCCTGTTTTTCGAGCGTATAAATCGATAATAATCCTCTGAAACAAGGCGGCGAAAAACAAACGATGTCCATCAAACATTTCGGCACGTTTACGATAATAGCCGTATCCATCCGTAGTACATGCCAAAAAAATTAACGAAGTGAAAATCGATTATTATGCAGCCGGGCCTGCTACTGGACGCGAAATTCGACCTTGCAATTTCCGTTTGCACACAATTATAATCCAATCATATAGGTTTTTTCAATATTTCGGTTTCGTGTGACTTAATAATAATTGATTGACTTACCATTCCATGACAGAGATCAACAGATATAGCAGATCCAGGATCGTTTTTCAGTTTTCCGGTGTAAAAGCAACCCAATACTTTAGGATCGTGTGGACGTCTCTCGGCTAAGTTTTTTCCATGTGTGACAATCTGGAAATAAGTTTATTTTATAGAACAAATTTAATATTTATTATCAACATTGAAACTAATATTATCTTAGGTATAAAAGCCCGTGTCTCTCTATAAAAGCTAGGACTTTTGAAAATGATGGAAGAACTCGGCAGAGAAAGCCTTCCAAACGGACCTTTGCAAGATCTACAGAAAAATGATGCATGTGAAGTTATCCATCCAAACCACCACAATCATGATGGGTGCACAACCTGGAAGTCTGATGCAATGGCCCAAAAAGGCCCCTAAAAAAAAGCCGAGGTAGTCTTGGCTAGAGAGTCAACCGAGCGAGTAGTGTCCCTGTGCCAAAGCCTTCTATTCTATTTCTTCTATGGAATATTAATAAAACATTTATATTTTTCGAGCCCGAGCGTTTAATTTTGAGTACCTGAAGTTGTCGGAAGTTTACACGCAGTTCATGGATCTGTAGACAGTAGCAGGTGGTAATAATTTGGAGCTGAAAGTATCATCACTTCAAATACAAATTCAAGATTGATAGAGAGACAGAAGGTTTATGCAAGGAGTATGAAAAGTTGACTACCCCCTCCGGCAGATATCAACAACCACATTACCGAGAGAAAAGCTCTAGCAGCGGTGTAGACTGTCACAAAAGTTTAGAGGCTACCTAGAAGCAGCTGAACTCATTATTTATAATAGAAGATGAAGATACTGCCAGATGATGAATAGAAATCTTACACTTGTCCATGCTAGTAACGGTACACAATTACCTCTCTCGGATGAAGTTCAGTATTTAGGAGTCACCCTGAACCGCAAACTCACTTTGAAGCAACATGGGGGTTTGTATGGTGAGCAAACTACTGCGCAAAACAGCCTACGTAAACTACAAAGTCTAATCTATCTAGGAATAACAGGGGCTATGTCAACCTGCCTCACCGCAGCCTGAGGCACTGCTGAACATGCCTCCTCTTCACCTCATTATCATCATCTTCAGCTTCCTTCGGTCCATCTCTGGACATAAGCCTTTCCAATTCGTCGCCATTCGCTTCTGTCGATCGTCTGACTTATCCATTGGGTACCCGCCAGTTTCTGGATGTGATCTTTCCACCTCGTTCTTGGCCGTCCTGGGTTCCTTTTAGTTGTTCTGGGCCTCCATTCAGTTATCTTTCTGGTCCATCTATTATCATCTGTTCTCAGTAGATGTCCAGCCCATTTCCATTTTAGTCTTGCCACCCATTTTGCGACGTCTATAACTTTTGTCTTTTGCCTGATCCATTCGTTTGTCTTTCATCCTTGTAGTCGAATTCCTAGCATTTTTCTCTCGATTTTCCTTTGGGCAAGCCTTAAACATTCAATGGTACTCTAATTGAGGCTCCATGTTTCTGCAGCGTACCTACGTTAAGATCGGTGGGGCACATTATTTAAACACTTGTGTTTTAAGATATTGTGGAAATTTGGGATTAAGGATATCACTCAGTTTTCCATATGCGGTCGATCCAAGCTGAATTCTTTTGGATATCTCCGCTCTTTGACTATTCTTATCGAACGATATTCTTTGTCCAAGGTATACGTATTCGTCTACGACTTCAATTGTATTGTTGTTCTCAAGGTCAACATCTGTAACATCATTATTTTTGTTTTTGCTGCGTTTATTCGAAGGCCGTAGTTTTTTGCAGCACTGTTTAACTCCTGTAGCATGGTCTTCAAGTTATTCATACTCTCGGCAAGAAGTAGAATATCGTCTGCAAAGCGAAGGTTGTTTAATTTTTCACCATTGATGTTAACACCTTTGGCCTCCCATTCGAGTGTTTCAAAGACGTCCTCCAGAGCTGTAGTGAATATTTTAGGAGATATTGTATCTCCTTGTCTCACGTCTCTCCATAAGTTGATTGGATCAGCTCCCCCGAATACTTGGACTGTCATGGTTGCATCATGGTAGAGAGAATTGATGAGCTGTATGTATCGACTGTCGATACGGCATCTTCCTAGAGCATTTATAAAAGCCCATTTTTCAAGTGTATCACACGCTTTCTCGCGAGGAAGACCTTGGTTATATTCCAGTGTTTTTTTGTATTATTTGCCGTAATGTGTGGATGTGGATATGATCAATCGTGCTGTACCCCCTCGAAAACCGGCTTGTTGCACTGGCTGCAATTCGTCAAGCTTGTTGGTAACTCTGTTCGTTATTATTCATGTCAGGAGCTTGTATATTTAATATCTTCCTTTCTTATAGAGGATAATTACGTCCGCGTTTTCCCATGCTTGAGGTATTTCACCTCTATTTAAGCAGTCATCGAAAAGTTTTTCCAGATATCCCAATAGTTTTGTGCCTCCCAGCTTGATATATTCGATTATTATATCATCCGGACCCAGGTGCTTCGTTACTTTTCATTTTCTTGAGTGCACATTTAACTTCATATTTGCTTATTGGTGGTACATCTCTTCTATCTGTTCTATCATGAGATTTCTCTGATACTCTTCACCTATATGTGGAAAAAGATGAGGCAAGAATAAACGCCTATAGGCTATTCCAGACAAAAAGATTTAAACCTTGTGATATGAATGGCCATCCAGGCATCCTTCAGGCTATAAAGCTCGAGTGTCAAAGTGAACCAACAGATAACATCATTGGACTTTGACATTCCATATGAAGTGGTGGTTGTAAAAGAACGCCCGGGTCTGAGACAGGCAAAAAGGTTCATACCATCTTAGCGAACAAATCTGAACAATTTCGTGACATAAACAGTCGTTGGTCTGTCGACCACTGTAGATCTTGCCAAAAAGCAACAGAAACTACAGAACACTTAATCTGCGAATGCTCTGCTCACTTCTGCAAAAGGCTGAAATACGTCGAAGGGGTAGGTACGGCTAACACCCCAATAGGTGGGTACTTTACTACCCAAGAATCTGGCTTCCTTTGGGAGAAGCGTACAAATCTTGGACGCACCCACTAGAAGCAGAGTCACGCATAAAATATCTTGAAAGATAGCAGTGCTTGAGTGGATGGAACAAGCTGTAACGACTCCAAATGCTATTTAGAATGTCCTTGCTAGAGCAAAGTAGTACACCTTCTCTCTTTGATAAGATAATACGCAAATTAAGTACACCCAGGGAGAGTAACTAGTATATAATATATATAATGCAGTTTGTCAACGAAACTATGCACTGTCTTGGGTTTCATCAGCACTTAATACCTGTTGATCATGCCAAGTTGAATCTAGTGGTAGGGAGAATCCTTGACTTGAAAACAGAACTCCCAACAAACACAACTCAGTTTTAAAAACGTACTTGGAACGTTCCTTTGCAGATTACCGGACATTCTTTGAATATCCTCTCACGATCCAAAACATTTGCGGAATGCTCCCTGTATGGAGTTTGTGTACAAATGTAACGTTTCCTGGGAATGTTCCAAGATCATTTTTAGAGAGTTTTGGAATGTTTCCTGACCATACACGTCTTCAAGTCAAAGACCTTCCTCGGAATATTCTAATAGGGTTGTTTCAGGGGCAACTATAAAGGCCCACACATATACCATTCCAAGCTAAAATCCTAGTTCGGTTGAACCTCCTCATTTACAAAGAATTTTTGTCAATCAAATGAAATTTTAAGTTTTTTTTACACTGTGACTAGAGTCCCGACTCGGGATTCACATCCAGTCCCGAATAACATTAATAAATGATGTTAATGATAGTTTTGTCGGGACTGGATATAGGTCCCGAATCGGGACTCGCATATGGTCCCTAAATCCCTAAAGAAGATTCACAAATATGTAATTCCTTCATTAGGTAAAACCATATTCAAATAAATAAGACAATGTTATATTTCCAAAGCGTAAATTTTATTACAAAAACATTTGTTTACAGATAATAGAGTAGTTTACATTACGATTGATGCTAAACTTTTTCGCTAATTTCCAACCCTCAAATTCAAGAGAAATAGTGATAGCTCGATGATAGCTCGAGCCTCAGAAATTGAAGGCATGCTTACGAATACATTTCTGGTTTTTCTACCTAAACCTATTCTCACCATTATTTAACGTTTATAAACAAATGGCCACCTTTTACATAAAAGCACGTACCACCTATAATAATGTATATACAGGGTGACCCGCGAGATTTTACCCAGGTGATAGACTTTGGTGATAACTTAAACTTCGGAACGCGTCATCTGATGTAATTGAAATTTTGAGGATCTGGGTAGCTTTTTTTTGCCGCTTCTATCTATGTCATCCAATTTCACCACTTTCGCTTCAGTTTCGGTCAAGTGGTGACAGCAATTTTAGGGTAAATTCTCGTGGGACACCCTGTATATGTATAGGTATCAACAACATTACATAATTTATGGCCATACTATAACCTTAAATCAGGTGTTTTAAGTCGGGTCGGGACCGTACGCGGGTCCCGAGATTCCCGAGTCGGGGCGGAATACCAGTCCCGACAAAACTACTGATGACGTCATTCGGGACTAGAGATGGATCCCGAATCGGAACTCTAGTCACAGCGTTTTTTTTTAACCGTAATTCATTTTAAATGGAAAGATTCAAGTGTTAACTAGGTTCCACTGGACAAGGATTTGAACTTGGAATGTATTATTTATGGGTCTAAATGTTGGCTTCAAATGTTTGATGGACGTACCGTCAGAGCTGTCAGCTGTCAGGTAGGTACTTCAAGAAAAATATTTGAAATTGTACTTCAAGCTCCTACAAGTAGTTTTTACTTGAAGTACGATGGATTCACGATACTCGTACTTGGTACTTGAACTATTTTTAACAAAGTTCTTTGCATTGTACAACATTGTACACATCAAGTACAAGTACCATCGGCACCAAAAGTAACTGGGACAGCATCACATTAGTTCTTGTCCTATTATATGAATTTTATTGTTAAATATTTGTCAAACTATGAATTAAATGCATTGAAATGAATGACAGTAGAATTAGTCCAGGAGATTATTTGTGTCCCAGATACTTTTGGTGACGATGGTACATCGGAAAGTACTTCAAGCACATGGAAGAACTTGAAGTACGTCAGAAGTACTCCAAATAGTATAAAAGTACTTCAAAAGTGTACTTGAAGCTCGACTTGAAGCTTTATATTTTCAAATATTCACCAAACTATTAATTATACAAGGTGTCAATTTGAAAACTTTCAATGTGAATAACTCTGAAAGTCAAAAAGTTATGAAAACGTAATTTGGACAAATTTTATACAGGTAGAGGGAACTAGAACCACCATATTTTGGTTATTATGACCCCTTGGGGGCCTCATGCACCCCAACCCCAATATTTCAAATGGCACCACCCCTTTTGTGATACCTAAAATGTAATATTATCTATATCAATAATTTAGTGAGTATTGAAAGTAGACTTTGTATATCTTTTATGTTCGTTGATTGTACAGTAAAATGCTTACACAAAAACCAAGTACTCAGGTATCTATGTATGGGTCTTTTTCACTCAACTTAACTCTAAACAGGTACCTATTTCATTAATATGGTTCAAAAGAGTATTCAGTAACACAGACACTAGAGGCTGCTTATTGGGTTGTTGGGTAATTTTTGACAAAGGTTCCAAGATAAATAATGAATGAAAAAATTGTCATGTTTTATATTTATGAGAAAGACCCATTATAATGTATTTGAAGTACAAGTAGGTACTTGGCATACTTCAATTGTACTTCAAGTTGAGAACTCTGAAAAATTCCAGTACTTGGTAACGGTAATTGGAGAACATTTGAGACAAAAATGTACTTTGCACTTACTTCTACAAAACTTTGAGTACCTACTTTTTACTTGTACTCCAAGTACTTTAGTAATGCACTTGTGACAGCTCTGCGTACCGTTTAGGACAGGAACGTGTCCCATTTAAGGAAACTTGAATAGGACATTCCTCGAACAAAGTGTGTTTACTGAATTTAGTTTCAATTTTGAACTATTCCAGGCTCTTGAATTTCTGATTTTATCCAAATTTCTTTCGAAAGAAGAATCAAGGTACAGTCAAATGCCTGGAATAAGATTTTTTTCCATAAAATAATCAAGAAACAATTAAAAAAATAAATTTCAAATTTCCTCAAAATTCTTGTCTCTATCTCTCTTCTCTTTAGTTTCAATTTTCAACTATTCCAGGCTTTTGAATTTCTGTTTCCATCCAATCTCTTTAAATAGAAGAATCAAGGAACAGTCCAAAACCCTGGAATAACATTTCTTTCTATAAAAGAATCAAGGAAGTCAAAAGTCTAGAATAAGAAAAAAAAAATATATCTAATTTCCTTGAAGGGGGTGTGACCCTAAAAAACGACTTGAGCTACTTAAATCAAGAAAAAAAATCTAAGATCTCTCGTGAAACCCGCAGTCCTATATTAAAAATAGTCTCCGAGAAAATTCCTTGTGAAGATAAATTATGTAGGAACTTGTGATGTCACGACCGCCGAAATCGCAGTCTTCTGTTGGTTCAGTCGTCAGTTAACCGTACCCTATACTTTGAGTGGTTGCAATTCGCTCTAGGAGATAATTGTCTTTTGTTTTGGAAAATTCTTACACGTGTTAATACTGTCCTTGATAATCCAGCGTGACGTCACAAACACCTAGTTGTAACTTTGAACCGCCCTGACTCGAAAACGGACCATCGTAGCAAGATGCGGTTTAAATATTTATTCTCAGATTTTTTCGCACTAAAACTTTATTTTTTGGGTCACACCCCCTTTGACACTCTTGTCTTTATTTCTCTTTTCTCTAGTTTCAATTTTCGACTATTCCAGGATCTTGAAGTCTGTTTTCATCCAAATTTATTTTTATAAAAGAATAAAGGAAGAGTCAAAATTCTGGAATAAGAAAAAAAAATGATCAAATTTCTTAAAACTCATCTTTATTTCTCTTTTTTCTAATTTCAATTTGCAACTATTCCAGGCTCTTGAATGTCTGTTTCCATTCAAATTTCTTTTCATATGTATGTATGTACAGTGACCGACAAAAAGTTTGCAACAAATGGGAAAATATTTAATTATTAAAATATCAAAAAGAATGTTATATGGGATCAATTCAGCATACCTATCAACAAAAAAAAGCACTGTGACAGATGTCATGTGACCACAGTCGTGGCGGGAAATTTGAAAAGTTCGCCTCAATAATGTGAAAAGTGGGGTTAGATGACCAGAAATCGGAAAACTGTAGAGAGAAAAGTGGTTCAGGATTCGATTTTACGTCTATGTGTCAATTTTTGAAAAGTTTCAAGGATTTTTAATAAATATCAATTTTTTGGTCTGTTTTCTGGTAATTTGAAGAATATTAAAAACTTTTCGGAAAAATATTGGTTAAATTGAATTTAGAAAAGAGGTATTGGATCATTTAGAAAGATTTTATGATAATTCCAAATTTGTTATTTTAAATTTTTGCTTTCTGTAGGTCATTGCAACAAGATCATAGTGGTCTGAAAATGAATTTTTGTTTTTTTACAATTTCCCGCGGGACAATTAAGCAGAATGACTGCACTGGGTTTTTTTTTGTTAGTTTCACTTTGAATTATGTGAACCAAGCAAAAAGTTTTTGATATTTTTCAAATTACCAGAAAACAGGCAAAAAATTGATATTTATTAAAAATCCTTGTACCTTTTTAAAAACTTACACATAGAGGTAAAATCGAATCCTGAACCACTTTTCTCTTTACAATTTTTCGATTTCTGGTCATCTAACCCCACTTTTCACATATTTAAGGCAAACTTTTTAAATTTTCCGCCATAACTGTGGTCACAAGACATCTGTCACAGTGCTTTTTTTTGTTGATGGGTATGCTGAATCGATCCCACGTAACATTCTCTTTGATATATTGATGATAAAATATTTTCCCATTTGTTGCAAACTTTCTGGCGGTCACTGTAGAAGAATCAAGGAACAGTCAAAAGCCTGGATTGAAATTTCTTTCCATACAAATAGTAAGGAACAGTCAAAAGACTGGAATAGAAAAAATTTCCTTAAAATTTTTTTCTCTATTTCTCTTCTCTTTAGTTTAAATTTTCAATTATTCCAGGGTCTCTTGAATTTCTGTTTTCATCCAAATCCCTTTTTATAGAAGAATCGAGGAACAGTCAAAAGCCTGGAATGAAATTTCTTTCCATACAAAGAGCAAGGACTAGTCAAAAGCTTGGGATAGAAAGGAAAAATGATCCGAATTTCTATAAAATTTTTGTCTCTATTTCTCTTTGCTTTAGTTTCAAGTTTCCACTAGACCAGGCTCTCGAGTTTCTGTTTCCATCCTTTTTTTTTTTTTTAGAAGAGTCAAATGATCAAATTTCCTTAAAACTCTTGTCTTTATTTCTCGTTTCTCTGGTTTCAATTATTCAATGCTCAACTATTCCAGGCTCGCGAATTTCTGTTTCCATCCAAATGTCTTCTTATAAAAGAATCAAGGAACAGTCAAAAGCCTGGAATAGAAAAGAAATATGATCAAATTTCCCTCAAATGTTTGTCTCTATTTCACTTCCCTTTAGTTTCAATTTTCGACTATTTCAGGCTCTTGAATTTCTATTTACATCCAAATTTCTTTTCATAAAAGAATCAAGGAAGAGTCAAAATAATGGAATAAGAAAAAAATTTTTATTAAATTTCCTTGAAACTCTTGTCTCTATTTTTCTTCTTTTTAGTTTCAATTTTCGACTATTCCAGGTTCTTGAATTTCTGTTTCCATCCAAATTTCTTTTTATAAAAGAATCAAGGAACAGTCAAAAGCCTGGAATGAAATTTATTCCCATAAAAAGAGCAAGGAATAGTTAAAAGCTTGGAATAGAAATTATCTTTTCTGTAGTTTCAATTTTCAACAATTCCAGGCTCTTATGAATTTCTTTTTGGGTACATGTTGGCTTTGATCTTTTGGTGGACGTATCGTTTGGGATTTTGCCATGGACACGTCAAAATTTACCAGTAAAGGACCACACCTCAGCTTACTTAATATTAGGATGTGAGCTCCAGCTCCGCAAACCTGAAGTTGTAGCTACGTTGGGAGTGTTAGGACATTAGAACCATCACTAAAAGTGGGAGTTGGAATTGAATGTTTCAATTTTTTCCATATTTTATTGTTCAATTGACATTGGCAAGACGAGATGAATAAATAAACCATTAGGAAGACAGAAAAAGATCTATTTCCATTCACAGAGAATGAGATCCAGCATTGTGGGATACGCACCCAGCTAGCAAAGCAAAAGAGACCAATACTTCAAAATTTGCCCTACGACAGGATGGACCTTATGAAATGACCAATGTTGTGACTTCACCACATATGAGGTTAAACCTAAGGAAAATCCCGCGATTAAGTTACATACTTCAGCAGTAACTCGTCTTATAGCCGTCTCCTGAGAGAAATATACGACGCTGTGAAAGACCAGTGAAACTAGTCCCAGTCAAAGATGATAAATCAGTCACCTGAAGACAGAAATTTCAGCCAATGGATGATAATACTAATGTAAATTCCAATAATGATTATGTGGTCAACCAACAATGATGGTATTCCGGGTCTTCCTGGTGTACAAGAATCTCGATTTGATGGACGACCCATGCACCACATAAAGGCTTCATCTCCTCCATATAATGACCATACTCCAAAACTTACATAGGAGTATCTCCAAAAGGGTTACCTACTTGCTATACTAATAGCCTAATAGCTATGTTTAAAGATTATTTGCATAAAAATTAAAACAAAATTCTTACATGTAAATCTGGAGCAACAAATTTGTTATCATTCTCTAGTTCCAACAGAAGAATTTTCCCAAAAGCGTCAATCTCGTATTTGGGATGCGGATCCCATATTTCGGCGGACTTGTGCCTGAAATGTCCGCTGTGGTGTCTCACAGATGGTGTATCTGAAATAACAGAGATTAACTTAATTTTAGCAAAAACAATATATTGCCAATATCGTTTACAAAAATAGAAATTTACGATTTTAGAGTAGTAAACATTATGACGTCAGTATACTCTCCAAGCGTAGACTTTTATTAGTCAGACCCAGACGACATTAAATTTTGATTGGGTTTCGAGAGTTTTTGGTTAAATAATCCTGCCACATGGCAAAAATGCAATTACATAATGTAATATTTCTAGACTAATATTTGTATTTTCAACGTCGGAAAATTGATTGCTAATCGATTAAAAATCCCCGGCTGGTAGTCGTAAAGCTAAGTGGTAAACGCTCTTAAAAAAACAACTTCACAAATCACTGCGTTAAAAAAATTTGGTAATTTTATAAACAGGCGCCACATGGATTACAGGAGAAATGCCAAAAAAAATTTCTGGTTATTGAAAGATGAATCGATTAAAAGTGAAAATGCTTTCAATTTTCATGGATGTGTGATGTGATTTTTCTGACGCACTTGCATCCTATTTTCCAGATACTGGAATGCAAATTAATATTTTAAAACTTACTCTGATCGTGTTGTTCGATTTCATCGTCTGGATTTAGTTTCAGTGGCTTCACAAAAACAGCTTCTTGGTTCCCCAAGTCATCTAGATGCGTCTTTTCTAGAAATTCTGAAACAAAAAGAAAATCGTTTGTTAGGGACAACATTTACACTGAACAACTTTCAATAATTGCACAGTAAGTTAGTTTTTTTTTTTTCATATACAATAAGAATCAAGGTTGAAAAAGATCGGTAAAATAATAACAATGCATCAATAAAAAAAAAACTGACATCTTTATTGAATAAGAATCTTAACAATGGCTATCAGATTGGTGGAGTTAATTGAATATAATAATAATAATTTATTCGACGGTTGATGCAATCTTGAAAGATATAATTATTATGTTGCTTATGAAAAAATTTCATGTTTGTTCATTTTTTTCTATAGGTAGGTAACTATCCTATAAAATAAAATTTAATGTAGTAATCGGATCTTCAACAATAACAAAAGAGAATGTTCAATTTTAGAGAGGCTAAAGACTTTCTTTGCCAAATTTGAGATATAGAAAAGATGAGAGGCTTCAAATTGAACAACAGATTCTCTCCAATTTGCATTATTGTGAATTGTGATCAGATAGATTATCAACTACAGCAGAAGTTGATTGTCTTCCAATTGAAACATTTGGAGAAATAAATGATTTCTTGGAGGAAGAATTCAGGAAAGAGATTTTGAAGATGGCTACCAATCATGATCTCGAGAATGAAAATAATACAGCGAAAATTATGAAAGAAGATAAAGCGACAATAAGAAACTTGAGAGCCAAAAGTGCCATATTATTTTTGATTTAAAAGCTTCAAATTGGATAACAGATTTTCTTCAATTCCATAGAATAGGGTAGTGGACAAGATATAATTTCAATGAAATCGATGATCTATTCTTCATCTATGGAGTAAATAAAAAACATTCGTATCAAAAGAAATTTCAGATAAAATTACTAACCTTGTTTAAAACGGCGGTAAAATTAGAGTTTTGGGACGCATTATTTGAACGGAAATATTTCGCGCCCTGATTCTACGTCATAGCTGTTGTATTTAAGTATGAATTAAATAAAACCTACGTCCGATATTCGACACAAACTTACTCTTTAGGCGCACCCTCAACATAACCCCACTTTTTGAGAGAATTATATTTATCAATCAGTGCGTACTGAGTTTATCGGCATCTTTTTCTAAAAGCATGTAAAATATTAGGACGCGCTAATGGACATACATAACAGCTATGACGTAAATTCCTGGCGGTAAATTATAGCGTTTCAAATAAGTACAAATTTGTTAATTTTTTTTAACGTATATTTTTGTTTTCTAAAATCAAAGAATCATCAACAATTGTTTATTTTGTAATGAAGATTAATAAAAAAAATATTTCAAAAAATTGTCCACTACCCTATTGTGGTTAAATAGATTAACAATTACAGCAGAAATTGATTGCCATCCAATTGAAACGTTTGGAGAAATGAATGATTATTTGGAGGAAGAATTCAGGAAAGAGATTTTGAAGATGGCTACCGATCACGATCACGAAAATGAAAATGATACAGCGAAAGTTATGAGAGAAGAAGAAGCGACAATAAGATACTCGAGAGCCAAAAGTGCCATTATATTTTTAATTTAAAAGCTACAAATTGGACAACAAATTCTCTTTAATTCGCATTATTGTAAATTGTTGTCACACACACAGGCCACATCACATAAACTATGTTAATAATTGTTTATTAATTGTTCATTATTTATGTAACAAAATATGTAATATGTATGATGACAAATGAAACTATTATAATTGTTATTGTCTTTTATCTCACAGCTTTTCTTCAGCTATGGAAGTATTTTTTTGAAGAATCACTAGGTGCACACCGCGCACCTAAGGTGTTCGATTTCGTCTAATGGTTTGTTTTTTTTGCTAAATTACTTTTCGCACAATATGAGCTGTGCTCAGCACTACTGCCTTTTGCATGCTTAGTATATTATGATGACCAGGAGCTTCTTTAATGATTTCGCATGTATAGTTGGATACAAGTTCTGTGGCTCCAATCACTATGGGTATAACCTTTGTTCTCAGGTTCCACATTCGTTGTACCTCAATTTGCAGGTCTTTGTATTTTATGCGTTTCTTAGCTTCTTTTTGACTTATGTTGTAGTTTGATGGTATGTTATGCCGGTTTTCCACCAAACGGACTGTTGAGTTTGTGTTTTAAAACTCGAAATTAACCCGAAAAACAAAACTCCACCTGTCGCAAAAACACGCTAATTTAGAGTTTTGTCGGAGTTTAAGTTTTGTTTTTGTTTTGTCGGTTTGGTGGCAAAGCGGCATTAGCAACATCGATAAGGAGGCAAGTTTTCTGTTTTCTGTTTTTTTATCTGATTATGGTTATTTCAGGTGTTTCTATAACAGGATCTGGGATGTGTTTATACCATCGGTCTTGTGTTGGTATTCCGTAAGCTTTGCATATATTCCAGTGCAGTTGTTTTGCCATAGTGTTTATGAATGACGGTCCAAATAAGCTCGCTTAGTCAGGATCGGGCAGCCAGACACGACGTGATGAATGGTTTCATCAAATGACCGGCACAGTCTACATTTTAGGTCAGTACCGGTTTTCATTATTTTTGCCTTCATATAATTCGTCGCGATGGCTTGCTCCTGGCAAGCCATTTCCACGTTTGACTCTTATTGATGGTCTCTTTTTCTGCTTCATGTAAAATTTGGCCATGCATGGTCTTTTTCTTCCGTTTTGTTCTTGTTTTGACTGTTGTCTTTGTTTATCTTTGATGTTTTTTACTCTTTTAGTTTCTGTTTCTTTTTTGGTGGTGGATTCTATTTACCCGGTACCTATCATATTTTGAGTCTTTATCAGTTTGGTCCAGTTTTTTCTGTTGTTGTCGGTATACTATCTCTAGGTACTTGTTTTTTTTCTTCAGTTTCAAGTAGTTCTCCAAACCTGCCATAGCGATATTGTGGGTGTTCTCGAGGCTTGTCATTCCTCTCCCCCCCTCTTTCCATGGAATGCAGAAACAGCCGGCCCGAGACTACTTTTAGGATGGATCGAGATCCGACTTTGGCGCCCCTAATTTAAATGTGAATCGTACGCGCGAGCATGAATTTTGACCATTATCTATCTTATTTGAAATTTGAGCCATAGTCGTCGTGAGCATTAAAAATGGGACACCCGATTTTTCCTATTGTAAAACGGGCTCACCAGCTACACCGTCGGCAATGATAGGGATTTGACAAAAAATCCGTTGTACAGAAAATACTGATTTACTCAAAATAGCGAAAAATTACAAAACCTGTCAGTCGGGTGTCCCACTTTTAATGCTTACGACTATACCTACTCTTCTTCTTTTAAGAGTTGGCTTAAAGTAGAATAAAATTGTCTTCTGCTGGAGTTGACTTAAGGCAAGAATGATACACACTATTAGGGGAGAGTGGGGCAAAGTGGAATGAGGGGCAAAGTGGAATTATATATATGGCAACGTCGTATTAATACGCCATTGTCCAAAACATGTGGTCTATAAGCAGTTCATTTCAGTACATCAAGCTGTGACCACTGCGCTAACGCGTTGTTTCGGTATTGCAAGTTATGCAAAACCGGTGAAAATTTGTTTAAATTTTGAAGTCATGAATTTGGGATAAAATCTTAATGATGATATCCGAATAAGAACTGTTGCCGCTATTTTCAAGGTAGGTTATATAACTAACTGTAGTAAATAAAACAGATGGATCGAATCACAGGTGTTGGAAAAATTAAACATTCACTAAAAAGACTACAAGTGGGGCAGAGTGGAAAATCTCAAACGGGGCAAAGTGGAATGCATTCCACTTTGCCCCATTAGAAAAACAATATTAAAAATAGATTCATTTGAATGCATGTTTATTTTTTATTCCTATTTTTTTAGAGGTCCGTCAAAAATGGTTAGGACTTATGTCCGTAAATCTACACATGTTTGGGATGAGGAAGATATGGTTAACGCTATTACAGCAGTTAGAGCAAATCGTTTGAGTTATGAGCAGGCAGCTCTCACCTATAATGTGCCACGAACGATTTTGTTTCAAAGAGCTAGAAAAAACTGCGTTTCTGAGGAAGCTTCAAGAGAAAGTTTGGCAGATTTACTCGTGGTTTTACACCATAACAAGAGCAACAGCTTGCTGAACATTATCTGTTCATGGAGAGCAGATACTTTGGCTTGAAAATATCAGATTTGAGGCATCTGGCCTATCAGTTCGATGTAAGGAACGGAATTATCGTGAACTGTTAAAAAAAAATAGTCCAACGCCCAAGAAGTTAGTTAACACTGTAAAGAGAAATGTCTTCGAAAGCAAAAAGAAAGACAAACCGGAACATTGTCATAGTAAACGCAAAAGGGTGGAGCACGTTTCTGCACAACGTGGTGAAAATGATGATGACACAAGATGTATTTTTTTCGATGGTGAATTCCTAAAACCTAGTTCTGGAGAAAGCTGGATATGCTGCAGTAGCTGCGGGAGATGGGCTCATGAAAAATGTACCGCATATGAAAGTCAAACTAAAAAGGCTTTCATATGTGATTTTTGTGATTAAAATATCTTCTTAACTTTTTGGAACGCCTAAAAATGCTTTTATATGCCACTTTGATGAACAAAATTTTCCATTTCACTTTGCCCCGATAGTGTTCCACTTTACCCTACCGAAGGGGCAAAGTGGAATGATTTTCACTTTTTTTAAAAAAAATTTTTTAATAAAAAACCTTCACCTCAGATACATTATATCAATGCCCTTTTTAAATTAGGGACTAAACTTTTGATTGACAGCATTTTTACACCTTCTATTTAAATAATAAGATCGCCAGCTAGAAAAATCAAATTTCCATCCGCTTTGCCCCACTCTCCCCTACTACAGGATAGCCTATCCTCATAACGTCTGTGTGGAACAAATCGCCCCTTCCGGCCCTTCCCCCAACACGCCAAATCACCAATTGTGACGAGAGATAACATGCTGCCTATGTTATTTCTCGCCTTATTGTAAGCTGTTTAAGCAGCTGACGGAATTAGTTATGACGTCGGAAATGGTGACACGCCAATATGACGGCGATTATCAA